TTTCTCCAGCTCTGCTCAGCAGCAGAGCAGAAGTAGAATAGGAGTAGAAAGGGAAGATGGTCAGAGTAATCCAGGGTTGGGGCTTGTCGAGGCTTGAGCATGAGGGTGTTAGTAGCAAATTGTTGTTAGTAGTAGCAATTAGTAGGAGGAGTAGGAGTGATTGTGGTAGTCAACACCAGTGTTCATAGTAGGAGTAGTAGTGGTAGTCAGTAGTAGTTAGTGGTAGTAGAGGTAGTAGTAGTTGTTAGTAGTAGCAGTTAGTAGAAGATAGTGTAGAGTTCAGCTGATAAGTATAAGGTCTCAGTACCAGGGAAGGACAAGATCTAGGCTTGCTCCTCAGTGAGGCTCTGGATCTCCTTTCTCTTTGGTTCCACTTCTGAAGTTCTAGGCTTGCACTAGAGGTTCTATCCCCTCACTACTGCCAGCTCAGCTTCTTGCAGCTTCTGGCTTGCTCTCTAACCTCCTCCCCTCTCAAAATAAATTCCTTGTTACTATCTGTGTGACCCTTGGCAAGTCACTTAACCCCACTGCCTAGCCCCCCCCAAAAAAAAAACATAAATAAATTCCTTGAAGTTGACCTGGAGCCTCATTTCATTTTTTTTCTTTTTTGGGGGGGCTAGGCAATGGGGTTAAGTGACTTGCCCAGGGTCACACAGCTAGTATGTATTATGTGTCTGAGGCCAGATTTGAACTCAGGTCCTCCTGAATCCAGGGCCGGTGCTCTATCCACTGCAGGCAATATTAATTATTTATTAAAAGTATCGACTGTATGCCAAGCACTGTGATAAGCCCTGGGGATATTAACAAAGGTAAAAACAAACACCACAGCCCCTGCCCTCAAGGGGCATATTTTCCAGTGGGGAGACACCATGTAAATATCTAGGTACAAATTATCTACAGAACAGATGAAGGTCATCTGAAAGGGGAAGACATTCAAAGTTGGGGAAATCAGGAAAAGCCTCCAGCAGAAGGCTTTGAACTGAATGTGGAAGGAAGCCTTGAAAACTAAGAGGCCAAGTTGAGAGGGCAAAGCATTTCAGGCACGGGGTACACCCAGTGCAAAAATAGAGACTGAAGGTGGAGTATTATTCTCCAGGAGCTGCAAATAGATTGGAGCCAATCTAGAGTGCCTTGTAGGATATAAGAAGGCTGGGAAGGTAAGAAGGGACCAGGTTATGAATATCTTTAAATGCCAGAGGACTTTATATTTTTGATATTAAAAGTTAACAGGGAACTTCTAGAGTTTATTGGGGCAGCTAGATGGCAGGCCTGGAGTCAGGAAGATTCCTCTTCCTGAGTTCAAATCCAGCCTCAGACAATTATTACCTGTGTGACCCTGAGCAAGCCACTTAACCCTGTTTGCCTTAGTTTCCTCCTCTGTAAAATGAGCTGGAGAAGGAAATGGCAAACCACTCCAATATCTCTCCTAAGAAACCCCAAAATGGTACAGCGAGGTGGTGCAGTGGATAGAGCACCAGCCTTAGAGTTAGGAGGACCTGAGTTCAAATCTGGCCTTAGATACTTGACACTACCTGTGTGACCCTAGGCAAGTCACTGAACCCCAATTGCCTCATAAAAAAAAGAAAACCCCAAATGGGGTTACAGAGAGTTGGACACAACTGTGAAAAAAAAAACGACTGAACAGAGTTTATTGGGAGGCAGGAGGGTTTGACATGATTAGAACCTATGGTTAGACCTATGCTTTAGAAAAATCACCTTGGCAGCTGAGTGGAGGAGGATGGAATGGAGGGAGGAGAGGCCTGAACTGAAGTAGGGACTGCCAGGTAGTAGCCCAGGTAAAAGGTAATGAGGTCTTGAAGCAGGGCAGTGGTTGTATGAGTGGAGACAAGGGGAGAGATGTTGGAAAGGCAGAACGGAAAAGATTTTTCACCAAAGTGACGAAGTGTATGTCTAAGGGTACATACGTGCTTCTCTGCAGGGAACACATTCTGTGTCTTTGTACGGCCCTTGTCTACTGGAAGAGACAGAAGTAACAGGTACAGTGGAAAGGAGGCAAATCTGAAGTCAGAGAACCAGGGTTCTGCCACTTAATCCTAGTGTGACCTTAGCCAAGTCATTCGCACTACAGGAACCTCCATGTTTTCAACTAGAATATGAGGGTGTTGAACTCAACGGCTTCTAAGGCTCATTCCAGTTCTTAATGTATGGCCCCAGTGACCATCTCTCTCCGATTTCCTCTTGGTATCCTCTTTTACAGCTTAAGTCCATGGGTGTAGCTCAGTGTGCAACTTCATGAATCAGCATCAGCTGCTGCCAGAACCAAGACCCCTTGGATGGGATAAGGACTTGAGACCTTGCCTAGGGGCTTCAAGCCTTAGCAAGCAAGAAAAGGGCTCTTGGGACACACAGGACTACATGGAGGAGTTGGAGGAGGAGTTGCTGTTGTTGTCATTAATAGTAGCAATAGTTGTTAGTGGTAGTAGTAGAAGTAATAGTAGCGGTAGCACTTAGTAACAGTGGTAACTGCTAGTAGTTGCAGTAGAGGTAGTAGTAGTTAGTAGTAGCTGTGGTAGATATAGTTGTAGTATACAGTAGTGGTGGTGGTGTGATGGTAGTAGTAGTTAGTAATAATAGTAGTTGCTAGTAGTAGCAGTTAGCAGTTAATAGTAATGGTGGTTGGTGGGGGCAGCTAGATGGTGCAACGGATAGAGCTCTGGCCTTAGAGCAAGGAGGACCTGAGTTCAAATCTGGCCTCAGACATTTGACACTTACTACCTTCGCGACCCTGAGCAAGTCACTTAATCCCCATTGCCTCATAAAAAAAAAAAGGAATGGCAGTTGTGGTGGCCATCATGACAGTAGTTAGTGTTAGTAGTAGTAGTTGTGGTAGTCATCATTGTAGTGGTAGTAATAGTAGTAGTTAGTGGTGATGGTGGTGGTGGTAGTAGTATTAAGTGGTAGTAGTCATTATTAGTAGTAGTAATAATTAGCAATAGTGATAACAGTAGTAGTAAGTAGTAGTAAAATAATCATTATTGGTAGTAATAATTGTAGTGTTAGGAGGAGTGATGATGGTAGTAGCAGCAGCTGCAGCAACAGCAGCTAGAATTTAAACAATAAATAAACTTGAATAAGTTTATTTAACAATAAGTGCTTAAACAATAAAGCACTTAAAGTGCTTTAAGGTTTGTAAAGCACTTTACCTTTAACCTTCAAGGTATCCCTGTGAGCTAGGTGCTTTCATTGCCCCCATTTTACTGACTTCCTTCAAGTCCTTGCTAAAATCCTACCTTCTACTAGAATCCTTTCCTGATCCATCCTTAAATCTAGGGCCTTCCGCTCTGCTGATTATCTCCAATTTATCTTGAATGCAGCTTGCTTGTACCTAGCTGTTTGCATGTTGTGGCCCCCATTAGACTGTGAGCTTCTTGAGGGCAACAATTAACAAGACCAACTGTCTTCTGCCTTTCTTTCTCTCTCCAGCCTGGCACTTTATAACTGTTTATTGACTGACTAAGGCTGAGAGAGGTTAAATAACTTGCCCAGGGTGACAGGGCTAGAAGATTTCTGAGGCAGAATCTTAATTCAGGCCTTCCTAACTCCATCTCCTATACTCTAGCTAATGTGCCGCCTAAGGAAGGTAGGAAAAAGGAAGTAAAGGCACCTGTTAGTGTAGGGAAAAGGGCAGGGCTGCAGAGGTAGCAGAGAGATGTCCCCTCTGTAACCTTATTGTGTATAGGTAGGGAAGGGAGGGGGAGGGGTCTCTCCCTGGGTTGAGGAGGGGGATCTCTTACCAAGACCTACCTCTTCTCCTTTTTTAGGCTTTTCTTCCTCAGATCTCCATCGTATTACAGTCTATAAAGCTGGCCAGACCCTCCCCAACCAAAATTCCCCTCCTGATTCCCAGGATGTGGATGGAAAAAGGGGGGCTTCCGGACTGTGTTTCTCCCCTTTTCCCCAGATAATGTTCCATATGACCCAATAGGCAATTGCTAGGTCATGGGGGTGGGGAGAGGTGAATTAGAGGGTGGAATGGGGCAGGGACAACCCTGGCCAAAATGGTGCCCCTGAGACAACCTCCCTTGCCCCTACTAACCCCAAAACAAAAACTCCAAGAAAGCTACAAGTAGGCTAATTTATGCTAAAGATGGGGGAACAAAATGTGATGGGGGTTTAGAGATTTAAAAAAGACCCCTTTGGGTCCTTAATCCAAAGCAAGGAAGCTAATGGTAGAAGCGGCCTCCATGTCAGCCAGGAGGATCTGTGCTAATTCCTTCACTCCTCCCTCCCCTCTCCAGTATAACCATTAGGGAGGGAAAGAGATATGAGGAGCTGGCTAAGGGGTCCCCTCTTACTCTCTTACGTGGGGCATAGAGCAGCACAGCCAAAGAATAAATGCACCTTCAAATTTGAAAAGACAAATCCGAGTCCTTCAACACTTATTTGCCCTCAAACCTCAATCCTGACTTCTAACACCGATTCCCGCAACCTTGATCCCGCCAACAACGGCTCCCTAACCCTCACTTCTCAACCTTGGATCCCCAACCTTGACCCTACAGCCCTGACCAGCATTAGCTTCTGTCTTGACCCCCAACCCTGCTCCTCTGACCCCTCAACTCTAATCTCCAACCCTGATTCTTTCAAATTTTATTCCCACGCAATGGTCGTTCCTTCCATCCTTGGTCCTTATGTGCCATCAGAAGGGATAGTACAAATACCCCAACCACCACAACAGGGCTGACAGGGTAGTTACACCTCTGTGGTTCTGCCAGTGTAGACTTCACAGGAATAATGAAGAAGTAAATGGTAATGTACGTATCCTTCTCTTACAGGGCCATGGAGACAGACTGCTCACTCTCAGTGAAGGGGGAATAGCACTGTTAGACAAAGTCCAGATTTCTTAAGAGTGTGAGCTCAGCCCAGTGGAGGGGATGAGAGACCATGAGAAAGAAGAGCAGGAAGAGGGGGGGCACAGTAGGGGAGATGGTGGGGGCGGGATTTTTGGACACCAAAAACGAAAGTCTACACTGGAACATAAATAGAAGCCACATGAGAGATATTAGAACTCACACTCACACTCAGGCTCACCAACACACACACATACTCTGGCGCCTAGCAGAGTCCTGTGGGTTTCTCTGCAATCCAATCCACTGTTTGTTGGGAAATCTGCTCAGAGGATACCATGAGAGGCCTCCTGTTCCTCAGCCTGCTCCTTCTCTGTACCACCGACCTAGGTAAGGGAGCAGAACCTCTCTCTCTGTCAAACCTGAGAATAAATGGACAAAGAGGACAGGGAATATATATAGCTGTCCGTGTATGAGTTTGATCCTGCTTCTGATTGTATCTGTGGGTAAAGATTTCATTATGTGGCTGTGATTGTGTCCATGTGGGATATAGAATCATAGATCTGGAACTGGAAAAAGCCTTATGGATCATCTAATCCAACCTTCTCATTTTACAGATAGGGAAACTGAGGCACAGAAACTTTTTTTTTAATGAGTGTGCATGTCCTTCTGTGCACATGTGTGTATATATGTCTGTGGTCTGTCTTTGTATAGCTTTCTATGTGTCTGTACTTGGGTCTCCGGGCTTATGCCTCTGTCAGAGTGAGTGTCAATGTGTACAAAAGGTCTTGGATATTCTGTCCCAAAATTTTCCTCGAAGTTTTCTTTGTGGTCTGTTGAAAAAACAATTACAGTGTCCTGGGACCGGGATGATGGCCAGTGTGGGAAATGGCAGGGGAAGGGAGCAGTTCAGGTACCCAGCCTCCCCTTGGCTTCTCTTTGGAGAGGATTGGGCTGGGGTCCAGGCTGATTGGCTGTGGAACCAGATCCTTGCGAGATCAGGTCCCGAGTGCCCCGACCCTCCTCTTACTTCTCGCCCACCCGAATCCCTCTCGCAGCCTGGAGCGGTACCAACGACGCAGAAGACTGCTGCCTGTCTGTTACCAGCCTCATCATCCCCCGCCACATCGTGTGTGCTTATCGCCGTCTCAGCCCAGAGAACGGCTGCCGACTGCCCGCAGTAGTGTGAGTGAGCCGTAGCGGGGGTCCATCCTTCCACTCCTTCCCTTCCCAGTCTTCTCTCCATGGCCCATGTGCTTCCAGTCACTGTAAGCCCACATCTGCCGCCAAAAAACAATTCCTGGCGCATGAACTTCATCCACCCCGGCCTCTTGCAATTTCGATTTCTATCTCTGTTTTGGGTTCTGGTCTCGTCCCTACACCTGCCCGTATCTCTGCCTCTTTATCAGCCTTGGGGGATGCATCTGCCAGCTAAAAGGGAGTGCTTACTTCCTTCCAACCTCTGACCCTAGGTTCACTACACAGAAATGTCACCAGCTCTGTGCTCCCCCCTGAACGGCTTTGGGTGAAACGTCTCATTAAGAGACTGGATAAAAACGATTCCCAGGTAAGCACCTTCCCATCCAGTTCTCAATCCTAGTCCCACTCCTCCCCAAATTCAATCCAAGTCTCAGTCCTCCCTTTTCCCATACCCCTCAAGTCTCCTCCCTTTAGTAACATCAAGTGACCCTCAAGGACCTCCACTGACCCCCTAGTGACCTTCAATGACGCCCGGTAACCCTAGATCATTTTTCCTCTTCCTTCAGTACAAGTGCAACTGCAGTTAGTTTTAGGCACAGGACAAGATGAGGAAAGAATTTGGACAGCAGGATGGAAGTATTTGATCCAGCAGCCGATATGAGAGGAGGTCATGATGCCCCAGGACTGATGAGGAAAGAGAATCCAAGAATCTAGCCCTCAGCTGCAGCCTGGAACTGAGATGGGGTTGCTGGGGGGGTGGGGGTGGGGGTGAGGGAGAGAGGACAAAGAGTAGTTTCTGAGGTGTGAGCTTGAGTGTGAGTGTGAGTACTCAAGGCTGTGCAACACAGGCTCTGGGACCATTTAATAAAGGGTTTGATGCTGGAAGTGGAATGACTTTAAATAAATCACTTTTGCTCTCCATAACTGTCTGTCCATGTGTCTGTCCTATTGGTTAAGGTGGTGTGCTGATAAATGTTTAACAACCAGCTTTCTGGAAAAAGCTGGACACATTTTTATGTTTAATCTATATTATTAATATTTTCTCCATCACTTTCTTAAGTCTAGATGGTCACCAGAACAATAAGTGAAGTCCTGATTTGTAGCATTTGCTGATTTACAAGGTAGAAATGCTCATCCTGAAAATTTAACAATTGGCTTTCCCAAGCCAGTATCAGCTGGCTCTAGCACAAGAAGAAAGGAATATAAGTAGAAGATGTAGAAGAGGAGTTTTGAGAGCCAGTTTGAAGAGAAAGGACTGGAGAAAAATCTTATTTTTTTCCCTTTCACCCTGACATTTCTTACTTTGTAAAATAATTTCTGGCCCTACACTCAGCGACTGGAATGAGTAAAATACTGCTTACCTGGGAACCAGGCAAATATTTGAGGAGCCAGACTTGGGGGTAACCCTTGCAAAGGTCTATAGCCTAGCCTCATCTCCAGGGTAAAGTCTGGAAACCAATACAGAGTGACCTTATTTTCTCACTGACCAAGGCAGCTAAGAGAGAGCTTTAGCTGCACTGAGGATAGAATGGGGGAACCAGAATTCTGGGGAAACCAAGATAGACATAGATCTGGGAATGGACAGAGCCTTCCAGAACTAAGAAGTCTCTATGTGACACTTCTTTCCAAATCAGCATATCAATTAATCCATGTGCATTTTTCCCATTACATGTAAAAATGATTTTTAAATTTCATTTCTTTAAATTTTGAGTTCCAAATTCTTCCCTCCTCCGACCCTAGGCACATTTATTGAGCAACTACTATGTGCCAGGCATTAGGTAAACAAAGAAAAATTAAACAAATCCTGCCCTTAAAGAGCTAATATTCTACAGGGCAATGGTTCTTAACCTTTTCTGTGAACCTCTGAACCCTTTTGACACTGTGTATGCCTTCTCAGAATACTGTTTTTAGATGCATAAAATAAAATGCATAAGATTGCAAAAGAAACTAATTCTATTGAAAGTAAGATGTAATTTTTTTTTCTATATCCAAGTTCCTGGACCTCCCAAAATCTAACTCTAAAGGTTCTGGGGAGCCTCAGATTATGAACTTCTGCTATAGGGAGATATGACATGTGCACTTAAAATTTTTTGTTCTTAAGTCTTTTTAGCCATGTCTGACTCTCCATGACCCCATTTGGGGTTTTCTTGGCAAAGATACTAGAGTGGTTTGCCATTTCCTTCTCCAGCTCATTTTATAGAGGAGAAAACTGAGGCAAATAGAGTTAAGTGTCTTATGCAAGATCACACAGTATCTGAGGCTGGATACTGACTCTAGACCTGGCATTCTATCCACTGTACCACCTAGCTGCCCAACACTTTAAAAATAATAATAACCACCTTGTATTTATCTATTTGGTACACTTATAAATATATACCAAATAAATAAATACAAAGTAATTTTGGTGGGGATTTGGAAAGGCATCATGTAGAGACTTGAACAAGCTTTGAAGGAAACAAGAATTCAGAAAAGGTGCAGGTATAGATGTAATGCATTTGAGACATGGGAGACAGTGCAGAAGTGCAAAGATGGGTGATAGAGTGTCATGCATGAGGAAAGGTAAGAAAGTTAGCTTGACAGGAATGTGAAGTACCTGAAGGGAAGTAATATTGCAATAAGCCTGTTAAGGTAGATTGGAGCCAGGTTGTGAAGGGCATCAAATGTTCAACAAAGGAGTTTGCATTTGATCTTATAGGTAATAGAGAGCCACTGGGGTTTAATTGAGCAGGGAAGTGATATGGTTGAAACTGTGCTTTAGGAAGAGAAATTCTATATCTCTTCAATGTATCTGAAATTTCTGATTTCTTTACAGTTCCCCCCCTCCCTTTACCTGGAGATTCCTCATTTTGTCATTTCTTGCACTATACTCATCAACAACTGGGCTGAGTAAAACCCTGCAGATAACTTTGTTTAGTACAAAATCCTGAGCAGAGAACTGTACTTAAAAACAAAAGACCTGGGTTTAAGCCCCAGCTCTGACATTGACTTGCTATGTGATCTTAGATGAGTCATTTAAACTCTTTAAGCCTCAGTTTTCCTCCCAGGCAAAATGGGATTGATAATCTTTAGAGTGACTAATTCTCAGATTTGTTGTTGTTGTTAACAAAGAAAGTATTGTAAAGCACTATAGAAATATGAGCTACAACAATCTTCTTAAAAAATTGTAAATTTAGGGGGTACACCTCAGACAAACTGTCAGAGATAGATCTATTAGAATGGATTATGAATATTGAGTACTTTAAAGGTCATAGGGGGCTTTTTTAGGTGCTTCAGTGGATAGAGCACTGGCCCTGGAGTCAGGAGGACCTGAGTTCAAATCCAGCCTCAGACCAGACACTTGACACTTACTAGCTGTGTGACCCCGGGCAAGTCACTTAACCCCAATTGCCTCACCCCCCCCAAATTTTTTTTTAAGTCATGGGAAATCAGTGAATGTTACCTTTCAAATACAGATATGTCAGAAATAATACGTATGACTTTGGGATCTGCAACGTTCTTTCCTTACAACAGCTCCATGAAATAATCACGTAAATAGCAATAATTCCTAGCATGTTTATGGTGTTTTAAGGCCCAAGTGCTATTTACTAAAAATATTATCTTTATAATATTCTTATAACAACCGTGGGAGGTAGGCGCTATTATTATTATAACTCCAGTCTCAAAGAGAAGGAAACTGAGGCTTACCACCTTTTGGTCAATCAACTTGCTGAAGGTCACACAGTTAGTAAGTGTCAGAGGCTGGATTTGAACCCTAATTGTGAGGTCCTTCTGTGTGGATTTTTTTTTTTAGGCAATTGGGGTTAAGTGACTTGCCCAGGGTCATACAGCTAATAAGTGTCAAGTGTTTGGTCTGAGGCTGGATTTGAACTCAGGTCCTCCTGACTTCAGGGCCGGTGGTATATCCACTGCGCCCCCTAGCTGCCCCATGAGGTCCTTCTGACTCCAACTCCAGCAGTCCAGCACTCTTATCTACTATGCCAGGTAGATAGCATAAGTGGTATTATCCCCATTTTAAAGATCAGGAAATGAAGGCTCAGCTGAGTGAGATGGCTAACACACTGAGTGAAAGGCAAGATCTAAGAAGATATCAGCAGGTCAAAACATCGCTTGTTGTTGTCGTTCATTCAGATCTGACTCTTTGTGACCCCATTTGGGGGTTTTCTTGACAAAGATACTGGAGTGGTTTGCCATTTTCTTTTCCAGCTCATTTTACAGATGAGGAAACTGAGGCAAATAGGGGTAAGTGATTTGCCCAAGATAACACAGCTAGTAATGGTGTGAGACCAGGAAGTTGAGTCTTCCTGACTCTAGGCCCAGCTCTCTATCCACCATGCCACTTTGGGTTGAATCTAACACGATGAAATTTAACAGGAAAAAAAAAAGTTAAGTCTGAAATAATCAGTTTAAACAGTCAGTTTCACAAGTACAAGATGGGGGAGGTACAGTTAGCAATTCATCTGCAAAATAGCTGAGAGTTTAATGGACTGCAAGCTTAATATGAGTCAACAGCATGAAGAAACAGCCAAAAGAAATAACACAGCCTTGGGGGTTGCGTTAAGAAAGGCATATGGCAGCTTCCAAGAATAAGAAAGGGGTAAGCCTGCTCCCAATTTTGCTTTGGTCAGACCATAAATGGAGCATACTTTGTAATTCTGGCCACCACATTTTACAAAGGACCCTGATAAGCTGGAAAGTGTTAAGAGCCAGACAAGGGCAGCCAGGATGGTGAAGGACAGGGGTGTGCTGGAACAGCTCCACCTGGTTCTAGAACACCAACTGTTAAGTTTTCGGTGTGAGCCTTCACCCGTCAGTCATATCAGATTTATTGTTTTGTTGATTGTGCAGACCTAAGGACATGCTAGAAAAAATGTTAATAATCCAGATTAAACTTTAAAGTGTGTTTATTATGCAATTCCCCACCAAGAGCTGGTTGTTAAACATTTACTATCATACCCCTACTGAAAGGCCTTGAACCCATGCCATATAAAGATAATGAGGATCAGTCTAAGGATGAAGAATTAAACTTTCCACATCACAGGGGTTAGGGGCGCGGTGCCTTCCATAATCTGGAAAATCCACATAAAATTTTTTGGTCTTCTCTTCATACCAGAGAAGTCTGAATTTTTTCTTTTTCTGTTTTTGGTTGTTTGCCTTATCATAAAATTTGGGTTAAGGATTTGGTCATAGTCTCTGCGTCATCTACTGGCCTTTATGTGTTGTCTTTGGCTTTGGCAAAACTCCCCCAAAATTCCCATTCAATTTCTCTCTCTCTTTTTTATTTCTTTTTGGTGAGGTAATTGGGGTTAAGTGACTTTGCCCAGTCACACAGCTAGTGAGCGTTATGTGTGTGAGGCCGGATTTGAACTCAGGTCCTCCTGACTCCAGGGCCAGCGCTCTATCTATTTCCCCACTGAGCTGCCCCATCCGTTCAATTTCTTATGCCAACACATGATATATCAAAACTGCAATGGGGAAAGTTTCGATGTAGAAGGGAAAACCGTAGAGCCTGGAGAAGAGTTAGAGGAACATGGCAGCATGGTAGATGATCTTCAGATATTTGAAGGGTGATCATATAGGACAGTGACCA